GGCTTTGATGGCCGATTCTTTGTAAAACCTTGATGCTATAAATCCATTATTTCATGTTAAAGATTGATGTTGTGCCAATTGGTGATCGAGCATGCGGCTCAAATCCACTTCGAATATAGCATGGCAATATGCTGTTCAATATTTGCGTGCAAAAAAAAAAAAAAAAAAAAAAAAAACAACAACAACAACAGCAACCCAAAAAAGGGAGTAGGGGGAAGCATGAGAACGGCAGAAGTGTCGGAAAAGAAAGGCAGTCCAAAAGGTACAAAACGCACGTGGAACATTGGAACACGCACCTCCGACTGATGAAAGCATGACAAAGATTGTAACATTGCTAGTGCACACACAGCGAAAAGTGTTGCCTTCATTCTTGTTTTCGCTTCGACTATTTCGAGCACACTTCTCACGCTACGCATGCTTCGGCAAACGTATTTGTACAGTCAAGAACGATAACTTACATCCGGCCCTTGCGGCTTTTTTTATTGTACTTGTTCGTCACCGCCCCTCACCAGAGCTTGGCTCCTTTGCCGTACATGTTGCCACATCGGGTGATACAATCCGTATGCGAGGACGCCTGCGTGCCTACTTTGCATGGTGGTCCGGTTGGTGTGATAGCCGCTTCATGCTATCGATCCTCGCGTCAGGCTACCACCTTCCCTGGGCTTCTTCAGAGCCTACAGTGCAGCACGCCTCAAACCATGCCGGGGCACTCCAATTCCACACATTCGCGGTGGAGGCGGTGGACGAGCTCCTCGCTACGGGAGCGGCCCGGCTCGTTCCTCCATCGGAGCCACTCACATGCATCAGCCCGCTTAACGTAGTCATCCAACCTTCCAAAAAGAGGCTCATATTGGACCTCCGCCACGTGAATTCATTTCTTTCCGTCCCTCGTTTTCGCTACGAGGGCTTGAATCGGGTGCCTGACTTGGTGCAGCAAGACGATTGGCTATTCACCATCAATCTAAAATCCGGCTACCACCATGTGGATATCCATCCCTCGTATTTGCGCTTCCTTGGTTTTACACTCCAAGGGCAGCGCTACCAGTTTCTATCATTGCCTTTTGGTCTAGCTACTGCGCCGTTCGTTTTACTCAGCTGATCAAGCAGCTCGCAAAACGTTGGCGCGGACGCGGCATCCGACTTATCCCATATGTCGATGACATTTTTTTCATCAACGCTACTCGAGCCGAGGCCCTTCGCCACCGTGCCGTCATTTTAGCGGATCTTCAGTCAGCTGGCTTCGCTGTCAACTTCAAGAAGTCGCAGCTCGAACCAACCCAGCCTAAAGTTTTTGGGCCTCCTACTGGACACTCGCACCACGTCTTTCTCCGTCGATGACGGCAGACGCGAGCGACTCTTCGCCGAACTTGAGCAGATATGTGCACTTAGCGCGCAAGGGCGGCCTATCCCAGTCTGTCAAGCCGCTCGCATCACTGGCTTGCTAGCCTCCATGGCGCTCGCACTTGGCACGGTCGCGCGTGCCTTCTCCCACAATCTTCTTTCTCAGATCTCTGAGTGTCACTCTTGGGGGGCGTCAATTCTCTTGACACCCAATTCTCTCGACGAGTTGCGTTTCTGGCTCACCCAGTTCGACGTCTTCAATGGATCGCGCTTCCACAATCCTCATCTCTACGACGTCGTGATGTATGTGGATGCCAGTGATCGCGCATGGGGCGCGTGTTTTTCAGCGCCGGACGGCGACGCTGGTTCGCATGCTTCACCACTCCCCCGGGCCCTCGTCTCTTCATCCAGCACGCTCCGCGAACTTGCTGGCATCCTTTGGGCACTGTCTACCTTTCTTGACAAGGTCCGACGCTCGCACGTCCTACTCCGCAGTAACAGCCAAGCGGCCTATTACATTATGAAAAAAGGGGGTTCCCGCCGGCTTGAGTTGACTCTGATATGCCGAGCTATTATCCACCTTTGCGTGCGCCACCAAATTCGGCTCACAGTCCAGTGGATCCCACGCACCCTTAATACAGAAGCCGGCGCGCTCTCCAAGTTGGATCTTCTCGACGATTACTCTCTCGCACGACCTTGGTTCCTTCTGCTAGAGAGGCGTTGGGGTCCTCACACTATTGATTTGTTCGCTTCCCCGGCTAATGCGCAACTGGCTCGTTTTTGCTCGCTCGAGCTCTCTAACGCGGTAGTCGCGCAGGATGCGTTTACTCTTAGCTGGTCGGGCGACAACTGCTACGCCTTCCTCCCCCACCCGTGATACCCGCTGTCCTCGCTCACGCCCGCCGCTCACGCACCTTGCTCACCCTTGTAATCCCGCATTGGCCTAGCGCCTTTTGGTGGCCACTATTATGCCCGGACGGCTCCTCTTGGGCCCCCGCTATGGTCGCAACCATTTGCCTTGCTCCTGGCTCTAGTTGTTTGCGCATTGGTAGCGACCATTCTGCCTTTAGCGGTGCAGGTCTCCCGAACTCATTGATGTACGCACTTCACTTGCTATTCACTAATACATAGCACTGTGCCTCTGCGCAGATTCCTACCTCGGCGGCTTACTTTTGGATCTCTTGACGCTCACAGTCGATCTTCGTGCACAGTCTACTCTTCGAACATACGAGCCCTACTGGCGACAGTATCGGGCCTTTTGTACCGCGCACTCGCTTCCTTTTCTACCTGCCAGCGACCTTACGGCAGCACTGTTCCTGTTGCACTCGATCCGCGGTGGCGCCACTACTTCCGCAGTGCGATCCGCATGTTCCGCCATCTCATGTGCCCATTGGCTGGTCAGCCTTCCTTCTCCTATTCGCGGCCCGTTATCTTCCCAAGTGAAGGAGTATGCGCAACGCCACTGCGGCAGGCCCGCTCGAGCTAAGGAGCTGATACCACCCGAAAAAATCTACGATATCTGCGACGTCTACTTCGCGTCGTCCGATCCTGCGACCTTCCAGAAGGGGCTGATCCCTCGCCTCATGTTTGCAGCCTTTCTGCGCTTCTCTGATCTGATATCCCTCCAGTGGCACCAAATTGAGTTTGACCGGGACTATATGTGGTTGTTCATTCCCCGCTCCAAGACCGATCAGGCGGGTACTGGTGCATGGATTCCTGTGGCTGCCTCCTCCGCTCGCCATTGCCCCGTCTCTCACGTCCAGCAATTCCTATTCCTCGCTGGGTACTCCACCCAGTCTCTCGGCCCCCTCATCCGTGTGTTTCAGCCGGGCTCTCGAGCTTCCCCTTCCGATCGCTCCCCTTCGTATGCCACCATTCGGAGTTGGTGCCGGGATTCCTTCTCTCGGGTCAGACTCAATCCTGATGTCCTTGGCACACACTCGTTTCGCAAGTCCGCAGCCACCACGGCCGTTGATGTTGGTGTTCCTGATCGGCTCTTTAAGGCCCTCGGCCGCTGGCGCAGCGACACGGCTAAGGAGCGTTATGTCACCCAGCTCGATCGCGAGCTTATCGCTGCCTCACGGACCCTTCAGGACCCTCTCCGCTCCAGTCCAGCTGCTCGATATGCAGCCACGCTTGAGCGCCTCCGCCGTCAACCCCCCCCCTGATGTTTCGTTCGACTTATGACGACTGCACTGCACACTCCTCTGAAAGTCGTGTCACAATATGAACATTTTTTTAGGAATAAAAAATTAACAGATTGTGATTCGATTTGAAGAGGAGTTTTGCTGTAAAGGAGACAAGCTCCTTCACATTCTCGCAGGTCCGATGGACCTGCCACCTAGTCTCATTCTCATTTCTCTTCTCTGATTGCTCCCACCCCCCTCTCCCATTTTCCTAGTCGGCATCTGCCTGTTTTGCTTCGTCCTTTAGAACATTCATGTACTTCTAACTATGAGTGTGCTGTATCATTGAGATATGAAATGCTATGACGACTGCACTGCACACTCCTCTGAAAGTCGTGTCACAATACGTGCATCAGCCTGTGCTCCGTGCCTCGCAGGCTGGAAGGGCTGACCCGGCTGAAGCACCTGGAGCTGACCGGCTGTGCGTGGCTTAAAGAAGCTCCGGAGTCGCTCCCGAGTTCGCTTGAGGCGCTGAGCTTGGGGGGTCTCTGCACGTCACCCGTCTACCCGGCACCCCGGCACTTCCAAAAAAAACGGCTGAGCCTGAGGAAGGTGCTTTTCTCCTGCGAACTGGCCAGAAGCCTCTTCTCCTTAGAGCACCTGGATCTGGAGCCGGCAGGTGCTGTGCAGCGGACAGCTGGTGTGCAGGCGGCATCTGGTGTGGACTCTCCCAGCCCGGCTTTGCAGCAGCTGCGGCAGCTGAGTGTAACCGTGCCAGAGCTGACTCACCCGCCAGAGACGATCGCAGCGCTGCAGCGGCTCACCTCCCTGGGGATCAACGGCCAGGAGCTTGTGGCACTGCCTGATGCCATCGGCGATCTGACCAGGCTGTGTGAGCTGAGCGTGTCGGACTGCAAGAATCTTGAATTACTTCCTGATTCCCTCACCCGGCTCTCGTGTCTACACGAGCTGAGTGTTCACAGGTGTTCAGTTACAGAGCTCCCGATTTACGGCGAGCTGACGCGGCTTAAGAAGCTCGACCTGCGGGAGTGCAAGCAGCTGCAGTGCTTGCTGGATGATGGGCTCGAAGATCTGAAGCTACTGGCGGTGCTGAACGCCCATGGGTGCGATGAGCTGTGTAGCGAATTGTCGTATTCTCTCCGCCTCCCTGGGGTTGCGTGCGATCAAGTATTGACTAAGAGCAGCTGACGCCGCTCGGGAAGCTGGAGGTGCGGGCAGCGGGCGGGACTGCAAGCGTGGCTGCAAGCGGGGCTGCAGTGTCTCCCAGTCGGGCTCGATGGTCTGAAGCTGCTAGCTGTGGTGAATGTGCACGGGTGCAACAGGCTACGTAGCGAATTATCGCGTTGTATTCTTCCTGGGGTTTGAGATCAACTGTTGAGGTTGAGGCACCTCAAAAGCTGGAGGTAGCTGGAGTGGAGTGTTGCTGGATGAGCTAGAGGGTGTGAACTTCTGAAGCTGCTGGCTGTGGTGAATGCGCATGGGTGCGATGAGCTGCGTTGGATTCTTCGCGGGTAGAGATAAACTATGGAATCAGTCAGGCTTTTTACAGAATCGTTGCCTAGCACGTGTGAGTCTGCAACAAGCTATTGGTACGTGGCGAATTGTCCTCTTGGGTTCTTCCTGGGGTTGAGATCTACCCCGTATGACTGAATCTGGTTGTGTTCAGAATTGCTGCCTGGCAGTTGTTGGCCTGACCCAAGACACTGTAAGCAGCAAGCAAGTGAATGCTGTGCCTCCAAGAAGTTAGATAGAACCACTCAACCACGATTTACACGATTGCTGTAGTGCGACAACTCTGGCTAAGCCATGGTTTGGTTGCCGTCGTGATGGCGGCGGCGTCACGGCGACTGTGAGTGAGGTCAGTTGTCAAGGATGAGAATCTCAGCATCTTGTCCTCTGCAGAAGGGCACAGCAGCACGTGGAGGGGGGCACGAGGTAGGTCTGAGAATTCTCAGAAGCGCGCAGAACAGCAGCACGTGGAGGGGAACAGCCAAAAGGGAAAGACCACAAGATGAGCTGATGAGACCTCAGCAGTCCATGCAACTTCTGGTTCGAGGAGCACTCGTAAACAGGGCACTGGAAAGCCTGTGTGAAGTCCAGGTCCATCCCCCGACTTACAATGCGTGGGTGCGGATGAGCACGTCCCCGTGCATTCGCTTGGGCTTGGGCACGGCCTCCCTTTCCATGCGCCTGCACGGCTGTGTGTTGCCTCGCCTCAACACCCGCCCTCCCTTGCCCCCCTCCCTCGCCTCACTTGCCGCTGTTGACACTGCCTGCTGCAGCCCCCTCCTCTCCCTCTCCTGCCTCGTGTCTGTCCGAGACCGTTGCATGGGTGGTGGCACCGCTGCTCCTTCCACTCCCATGTCCTGCCTCCCAAACACACCCATCTTCTCCCTCTGCTCCCTCTGTTCCCGCACCCTCCTCTCCTGCCTCGTGTCAGTCCGGGACCTTCGCATCAGCGGCGGTGCCGGTGCCATGACCACTCCCGCACGCTCTCTACCACACTGCACTGCACCCACCTGCTCCCGCTGCTCCCTCGCCCTCCTCTCCTGCCGGGTATCTGTTCTCGACCGTCGCATGGGAGGCTGTGCTGCCCCGTCCCCGTCCACGTGCTTGGTACCAGCGTGCTCCCTGCCCATCTCTTTCCCCATCTCCTCCCTCATCTCCTCCCTCATCCTTCCATCCCATATCGCCTCTGGACTCGATCCCAGCACCATTCCCACCCCTGCCTTCAAACTCCTTCCCCTCTCCCCTCCTCTCCCTCTCCCCACCTCTCCCCCCACCCCTCCTCTACCCCCCATGCCCATCCCTGTTTCCATCTCCAAGCACAGCGCCACGCCATCAATCCCAACCCCACACCCCAACCCACACCCTTTCCCACACCCCTTCTCACACCCCTTCCCACACCCCTTCTCACACCCCTTCCCACACCCCTTCTCACACCCCTTCCCACACCCCTTCTCACACCCCTTCCCACACCCCTTCTCACACCCCTTCCCACACCCCTTCTCACACCCCTTCCCACACCCCTTCTCACACCCCTTCCCACACCCCTTCTCACACCCCTTCCCACACCCCTTCTCACACCCCTTCCCACACCCCTTCTCACACCCCTTCCCACACCCCTTCTCACACCCCTTCCCACACCCCTTCTCACACCCCTTCTCACACCCCTTCTCACACCCCTTTCCGCACAGCTCCTCTAGTCTCTTAGACTCGCCCCTCCCCGGCATCCTCACCATCCACGCCTCCCCCTCCTCCCACTCGCCCTCCCTCACTCTCACCTCCCTAACCCCTCTCTCAGCAGCCACTGCTAGCACCTCCTCCTCCTCTTCCTCCTCCCTCCGCCTCCTCTCCCTCTGCTGCTGCAGCTGCCTCTCTAACTCCCTCAGGCTCTCCGCCTCCTCATGTGCTGCCACGTCAGCCTGGTGTCGGTAGCTGCTGAACGCCGGGTGGTATACCACCGAGCTCGTCCTTGGGCCCGCTGCTACACTCTTCCCTCCCATCCCTGCCGTTTCTGCTGCTCCCGCTACCCCAGCACTTGCCAGTGCTGGTGTCTCAGAGGCAGCAGCAGCGCCACCACTCTTGGAGCGGGTGGTGAATCGTTTCCCCCCGGCCAGCATGATGGCTTGCGGGGGCAGCAGCCTGGGAGCGGCGGAGTTGGCTCGGCTCAGACGCTTCGCCTTGGGCTGGGGCTGGGCCCTGGGGGGGGGAGAGGAAGACCAAGACGTGGAAATGCGGCTGCTGCTGTTAGCAGCTTTAGCAGCTGTTGCAGTGGCGGGTGCAGCGCCGCCAATGTTGTAAGTGACGCTTTTGGCAATGCGCTGGGAGGGAGCAGCAGAGACACCACCCCCACCCCCACCCCCACCACCACCACCACCACTGCCGCTGCTGCCTGTGCTGCTGATCTTGTGATAACTCACGCCCTGCCTGCTCTCCCCCCTCGCCCCCCCCCCCTTCCCTGCAAGAATGTGACCCGCCGCCTCTTCTTTTCTCTCCCTCGCGCCAGGAGCAGCCAGAGCGAGAGCAGCGGCGGCGGACTGCTGCCGTCTCAGGCCAGCAGAGGGGGGGAGAAGCAATGCTCTGCGCAGGGGGAGGGCTGGGGGGGATATGGAGGAAGAGCGGGCCAGAGGCGCTTTTGTCTGCACCACTGCGCCAGCTGGAGCAGGTTGGCCAGTACCTTTCACCGGGGCACCTTGTATCGAGTACAAAGTGTTCTCCTCCGTGCATGCATCAGTTTCCGGAGTCACGGGCGTGGGTGGTGGACCCACCAGCCGGGAACGACCCCTGCTCTGCCCACTGCTACTCCCCTTGCCCGTACTAGCATGGCCGCTGCTGAGGGTCTTTTCAGCCCCTCCCAACTGCCACCACGCTGACACGTGCTGCCTCGTTCTCGCCGCTGCCAGCGTCACTGCCGTACCACCACCACCACCACCACCACCACCACCACCACCATCGCATCGCTCCTCTGCACCATCTGTGAGCCTCACTGCACCCTCTGTAGTCTTGACAGCCTCCCTCCCTCCTTCTGCGCGCCTCGCCCTCTCCAGAACCTCATCCCCCCCCTGCTGCGCCTCACACCGCCTCTGGGCGTTTGACCCCAGCGAGTGCCAACCTGCTGCCTCCCCTACCACGACCACCACCGCCACGGCTGCAGTGGCCATGGCAGCAGCAGCGAGTTCGTACTCGCCGGGGTCGAACGCCCGCACTCGGTTGCTCCCCCACAGCCCCTCGCATCGCAGCAGCGCGCGCTGCTCCTGCTTGCGCCCATCGCGGGCCGAAGGGGCAGTACTGCCATCGCCATCGCCACTGTGATCCCCAGCAGGTGCGTGAGAGGCGAACGCCTGGGCTGCAGCGCGGGCAGCGGCGGCTTTGGCGGTGAGGCGGCGGGCGGCGGCGGCGTGGCGGGAATGCAGCAATGGGGGGAGGGGCGGAGGCGGAGGCGGCGCGGGACGAGATGCCGCGCCAGGGGGGGGCGAAGAGGGGGGTTCCGGCGCGCTGCTGCTGTCATCGTCCGAGGGAGGATCCGGCGCGTCAGAGGCCGCTCCCCCGTGCCCCCATGCTCTCCCGCGCTTTCCGTGCTTCCTGCGCTTGCCGTGATCGCCGCTCTCTCGTGTGCGCGGGTCACAGCCAGCACAGCCGGCCCAGTCTGCCCTGCCAGCCCCAGACGTCGCCGCGAGCGCCACGTGCCCCTCGTCGATCAGCAGCACCCCCTTCTCCACATCCAGCCAATCACAGCCCTCCTCCCCTTCCTCCCGTTCTCGTCCCCGAGGCGCGCTCTCCTCCTCGCAGCTCCCCGCGATGTCCCACGCGTCCTCGCTCTTTGCAGCGGAGACGAACGAGTCGTTCTCGTCTGCGTCATCCTCGTTATAGTGCTCCTCGATATCCGCCTCCAGGTCCCACCGATCCACACCCCCCTCTCCCTCGTCATTAGCGCTCCAGCTGCTCGCGGATCCCGCTTGCGAAATAACCGCCTCGTTACAGCTGCCATACGCGTTATCAGGTCGGCCGCACCCGCCTGTTCCTAACGAACCATCGTCACCATCGTGACCATCGTCATGCAACCCCCAGCTGCCGCCGCCACTGCTGCCGCTCTTCCCCTCGCCTTGCCCCTCCTCCTCCCCCTCCTCGCTGCTTCCCCGCTCCTCTCCCCGAAACCCCGCGGCAGGGGGGTCCCTTCCTCCGTGATGCGCTGACATTGCGCGCTCACCCTTCCCCTCCCCGCCCTTCTTCCGCGCCTCCCCCTCCCCTTCTGCGTGCTGCCACGTCATCGCCATCATCGTCCTTTGAGTCGACTCAAGGCTCGCCCGTCTCTCCTTCTCCATATACCTTTCCATCTCGCGCCGCCATTCGTCCACATCAGCAATGTCGCTCTGCGTGTCGCTTCGGTCCAACGACTGCTGCTGCCAGCCCTCCGCCCTCCCCACTGCGCCTGCCGCTCCTTCCGCTTCCTCCGCCCTTCCCAAGCATTCCGCTCCCCGCATGTCAGCGCTGCCGCTCTCCGCCGCGCCCGCGGTCTGCGCGCGCGGCAGCCCGCATTTCCCCCCGTCCCCGCCGCCCCCCGCCGGCGCGCGCACCAGCTCATACACGAACACGTTCCGCCTGCCCTTCCCCCGCTGCTGCTTCTTGCGGAACACCCCGCCTCCGCCCTTCCCTGCAGAATCCGCGGGCCTTACCCCTTTCACTATAAGCACGTCCCGCGCGCGCCGCCGGTCGCCGCCAGCACTTTCACTGCGCGCCGATGGGTAGAGCGTCCACGCCACCGCCACTTTGTCGCCCGCGCCGTCGCCTAACGCGGCGGCGGCAGTCGGTGGTGCGCCGACGACTCCTCGAGACGTCTCATGCGACGCCGCTGACGCCGCGTCGCAGCCTTTAAGAGACAGGATCGCCGAGCATTCGTTCGCTTTCTCCTCCATCGCACGCTCAGGCTGCTTTCCGCCTGCCGCCTCTCCCGCCGTTCCCGTCCCCGCTCCTGCTGGCTCCGCCACTCCAGCCGCCCCCGCAGCGGCGTCCCAGAACCAGCGCGCGATTCCCGGCGCTGTGCGCGGCCGCGACTTCGCGCGGGCGCGCGACGACCGCGGCTTACTACCGCCACCACCGAATAACTCGGAATTTAGTTTTTCTGGTTTAGGGTCGTAATATTCTGGCGCCTCTCCAGCAGGGTCCGGAATGACCAGCGACGGCCGACTCGCGCGCGACGCCGCTGCTCGCGCCGACGTCGCGGCGGCTTCCGCTTTCTCCGTGTTCCTCTCGCGCACGACGCCGCTGCCAGCGCGCTTGTTGTTCGAGTTTCGCGTGGGAGGAGAGCCGCGGCGGGTCTCGCCGCTGCTAGAAAAGTGTTGCCGTGCGACGTCGTCGCTAGTAGGCGATGGCACTATCACGGGGGGAACAGCGAGGGACGGCGACTCGTCTTGTCGCACGTCATGTCGCAAGGAGTCGCTGCGGCAAGCAACGGCGTCGCTGGTGGGCGAGCAGCAGAGGGGGAAGGCTGCGACGCACGCGGCTGCGGGGCTCGAGAGGGGCCGCGTGAAGACCGGCAAGGACGAGAGGGAGGAGATTTTCGGAATAGCCTGGCGAGTTGGCGTTGCGTGCGAAAAGCCTTCGTCGAACGTTATTACTTCGTCGCCGAAGTCGCAGTAATCGTCGGCGAAGTTGTGTGGAGAGAAACAGGCCAGCGGCGAAAACATGGCGACGCCGAGACTCGCGAGATTTGCGCCGTGGAACTTTCGGGGCGAAGCAGCCTATCGGAACGAATCTAGCAGCCTACTATAGTGCAAGGGAGGAGAGTATCAAACGATTCAGGCATTCCGAACGTCGCATTGGTCTGGGTATGGCAGGTTTCATACTACGGGCTAATTTCTCTCGCCCTAGTAGGATCAGGGATTCAGGGCGGAAGACTGGATAACTCTCGGGTTCGAAGGCCGTGAAGGGAAGGAGAGAAAGCATGGATGGAAGGGGTGCGCGTGAGTGGCGGCGGCCATAGTGGTGGCTGTCCTTCTGTCCTTCGCTTCCGCCTCCGGCTCGTCATGAGAGGACAAGCAGCCCGCGTGCCTCGAGATTTTTTATGATTGCTCGCCATGAAGCAAGGACTCCTCGTCGCGACAACAACTCCTCCGACATCTGCGAAGACTCGCGAACTCCGTACACCCACGCCATAATCGGTGTTACACCTCTTCTACGGAACACTTTGCGTTAATGACCGAGCCGCGCCGGAGAGTATCGGTAGTACTGGTAACCCCTGGCAAAACGGATTGTAGCGGATACTTCCACAGTGATTTTCGGCCGCTAGCATCTTGTTCTGTTCGGTTTCAAGTGTCTTACTCGAGAATCACGAGGTTGTTGGGAATTGCGAGCACCTCGACGAAGTTTTCGTCAGCCATTCGCATGGAATGTAAGGGTGATCTGGAGTCAAACGCTATGGAGTGTTCCCTGGAAGAGGTGTATGTGTATGGGAAAGGAAGGGAGAATCCCCCCGTCCCGGAGAATGCCTCCAAAAAAGGCACAGCCATGAGGCGCAGATTGCTGAGATAAGCCAATGGGAATAAGGACCACGCGACACGGCTGGGGGCTTGTTCGTCATGGCTGGAAAAACACCTCAGGACGGAATTGTCACTGCGATGCGATCGATGGACGCATTTCAGGGCGTATTCCGGAGCCAGTGTCAGTCCCGATGCGATCGATGGACGCATTTCAGGGCATATTCCGGAGCCAGTGTCAGGCCCGATGCGATCGATGGACGCATTTCAGGGCGTATTCCGGAGCCAGTGTCAGGCCCGAGGCCGACCCGTGGCCGAACTGCGACCGAACTGTTAGCACGCAAGATTGCTGCAGTTGAGTTTTACTGGTCCTACATTGGCAGGCGATCATCCGCGCGAGGTTTGAGTTTGTTGGAATCGTCGGCCACCTGGCAGACACCATCAGTTTCCTCTTAGAACCAAGGCAATTTTTTTCCAGCCTCTGATCTTCCCAATAAACCCTCGGGTCTAACACTAGATGCGGAATCACCCAGTTCCATGGTGGCTTGGCATGGCAACTGCACTTGCTAGCCTCTACAGCACAGCTAGAACAGCTTCAGTACAGGTCTGGTTTGATTTGGTTTGGGGGGGTGAAGAGGGAGACGGGAAAAAGCGGAGGGAGGGAACCAAACTGTATACTGTACAGGCTAGCTGGAAATGGATGGGACACAATCTGTTCTTCTTTCATCCTGTCCATACATCCAATGGCCCCTATCAAAGATCTACGGCGTTCGCACACCCGATTGATTTGAAAGAGTGGCAAATAAGGTGGACCCCGCCCCAACCTTCCCTTCCGTCCTCTCTCTGTCTGGTGCTTGCCCGCCAGCCAGACTGGTACGCGCAGTGCTGGCGGCACTGTGAAGATTCGAAAATACCAAGTAACATCGGAACGGCAGCATTCTGGTAACACGGACGCACAAAAGGCGGTGCCAGAGATCGTTTGGGCAGGCTGCCCAAGTTTCGTTTCAGAATAGATGTTAGTCGGTTTGATACGTTTCAGAGCGGTAGAATAAGGTGAATAGTCAACATGACCTCTGCGAATCACGCCCTCGAACGATCTACTGATTGCAGATTTGGCATGGTACACGTATTGGAGGATGGAAGTGCGGTACCAAACGGTTCAGGGCGTTGGGGTTAAGAGGTATGGCCTTGATAGCAAGGCCAAATGAACAAAAGGCTCTGGCCCATACAGGTCTCGAACCTGTGACCTTCGCGTTATTAGCACGACGCTCTAACCAGCTGAGCTAATAGGCCTGTCAGTGAATCAAAAAACAAATTTATCAACTATATAAAATATTGATGCAATGACAGAACCCTAACTTTAAGGGTGGTTTGACTAGATCCTGTGTGGTGCAATATGATTTAGTACAGTGAAACGCGATTGACGTTCGAGCTTGAGCATTTCAAGGAAGTACCACACCATAGCACGCTGTCATCTCTCAGCATGTCGTTCCCCTCGTGTCTCTTCTCCCAGCCCCTGACGGCGTCTCTGCTGCGGCGGCGAGGAATAAGCCGAGCTCTGGGGGCCGGCTTAGCGACAGGGAGCTTAGCCCCGCGCGTAGGACACGCGGACGAGACGGCATTCGCGCACGCAACAGACGAGAGGGAGAGCAATCGGGGGGATGAGCCGACGCGACGAGATACTGATCGGCGCGAGTGGAAACGCGAGGAAGATGACGTGGCTTGGACGGTTGGAGGCGAGTCGGCTCGGGAGAGGAGCGGAGAGAGCAGCAGCGAGAGCAGCGGCGACAGGCGTTCGGCCTCTGCGGCGAGTGGAGAGCATGGGGATCGTGTTTCGACGCCGTCGGTTGATGCTTCGACGATGGCGGCAGATGGCGAGGAGAGCATTGAAGGTCGCTGTAACTCGCGGGGTAACGACGGCGCCGGTTGGCGAAGAGATGGCGAGGCGGCGAAACGAGCGAATTCGTTGTCCGTTGCGTTGAGAAATGCGGGCACTGTTGAGGTGAGTGACAGCGGGATGTGGAAGTGACGGTGAAAGGAGGAAGTGGTGGTCAAGGGGGGCAGTGGTGGGGGTGCAGTCAGTGTGGTGTGGTGTTGCGAGCGGTTGGGAGACATGATCCTGTGGTTAGGGTACACGAGCCTTGTCTAGCGGTAGAAATGAACCCTTAGCCTGCCCTTCCAGGCCTCTCTCCTTCTGCCACGTGTCGTCTCCTTTTCACTCTCTCTTTGCTCCCTCGCGCCTCTCTTCCTTCTCCCTCTCATCGTGTTTGCTCCCTCCCTCCCTGCGTGACCTCCTCTTTCTCCGCTTCTTTGCTTCTTCACAAGGCCCCCATGAGGCTCCCCTTATTACTGCCCATACAAGGAGGCTTAAAGGCACTGTGCATGCTTCCTCTTCGCCAACCCCTCTACTCTCACCAACCCCCCCCCCACGTGCCGCCACGTGGCGTGCCAGCAGCACCTGGACCTGACTCGCAGTGAGGATCTGCGCTGCACCAACCTCATGTGTGAGAAGGTGCGGCAGACGTGCCGTCTGGGAAAGGGGGAAGGGAAAGGGGAAGAGGGAAGGGGGAATGGGGGAGGGGGGAGGAGAGAGGGGGGGGTGGGGAGGAGGGAGTGGGGAGGGGGGAGGAAGGTAGAAGTGGGAGAGGAGGCAGCAGAGGGGGACACTTTGTTTTCTCCCTTCCCCATCTGCATCTGCATCTGCATCTGCATCTGTACCTGCATCTGCATCTGCATCTGCATCTGCATCTGCATCTGTACCTGCATCTGCATCTGCATCTGCATCTGCATCTGCATCTGCACCTGCATCTGCATCTGTACCTGCATCTGCATCTGCATCTGCATCTGCACCTGCATCTGCACCTGCATCTGCATCTGCATCTGCATCTTGGCGTGGCTCTCTCCCGCCCACCTGCCTTTTCTCTTCTTTCCTCATTTCTCCCCTCCCTCTGTTACCCCTCACACAACACCCCCTCTCCCCCCCCCCCCAGTATCTCTCTCTCTCTCTCGCTCTTACTGTTTTTTGTTGTTTTTATGGTTTGTTTTTTGTTTTTTGTTTTTGAAGTTTTTTCAGCTCTTTCCCACCTGCTCCGTCTTTCTGCTCTCGCCCTTCCTATCTCCTCTGCCTTTACCTCTATCTCACCGCTTTCCTTTCCGCTGGTCTTTATCTCACCTCTCTCCCTCCCTATACCTTCCCATCTGTCCCATTCCCCCCCTTCCTCGACCCCCCTGCTCTCGCCCCCAGCTGAATCTGTCGCCTGGGAGTGGCACTGACCCGCCTGCCCCGCCTCACCTGTCTTCGCCCGTCTCCCTCCCTATGCCGTCCTTTCTCCCCCATCCCCTCCACCCCTTCACCCCGCTTCTCTCTCCGCCAGATCTTTCAGCCGTGCATCTGTCGCCTGGGAGTGGCTCTTTCCCGCCTGCCCCGCCTCACCTGCCTCACCCTAGCACACAACAAGTGAGCGCTGCTGGGGGGGCTGAAACCCACTCCTTGCTGCAAATGGGTCTCTCGCATGGTCGTGCTTGCTACGGCATGGCATGCTGTCACATATTACCCCGGCCCTCTTTCTCCCACCCCCTTTTTCCCCCCATCCTCCCCTCCCCCCCACCCCCTCCCTTCCCTCCCCTTCCCCCCAACTCCCTCTCCTCCATCACCACACTCCGCCATGCCCCCCCCGCTCCCCCTCTCTCCCTCTCTCCCTTTCCTCTCCCCTCCCCCCCCTCTTCCCCACTCTCTCCCCGCGCAGCCTAGAGGCTCTCCCTGATTCCCTCTCCTCGCTCACCTGCCTTCGGCATCTCGACCTCTCCCACAACCGCCTCTCCTCTCCGCCCCACCATCTCACGTCGGCCCTGCCACACCTGCAGTAAGTTGACTGCGCACTCTCGTTCATGCACATGCATTACATTGCCCCTCTCAAACAACCACCTCCCCGCTCCACCGCACCACCTTACATTGGCCCTTTCACGCCTGCAGTAAGCTGTACTTTCACTCTCATTCAGCACATGCATTACATTGCACCTCTCTCACACCAGCGCACCTGCTGCACCATCTCACGTCCCCCCCTGCCACACCTGCAGTACGTTGTCTGCTCACTCTCTTCCACACCCGTTCACACTCGTTCACACTGCTGCTCGCCAGCAACGTTTTTCATCTAAACTTGCCCGCGTTTATCCCCGGTGCGCCTCCCTGGTGACTCTTCTTGTGTCTCGTTCTTCCTCCCCATCCACTCCCCCGGGCCCCCCATAGGTCTCTGTTCCTATCCGGCAATCTGTGTGCGCCGTCAAAAGCAGCAGATGTACTCTTTTCTACCAGGCCCTCCCCCCATCCCATCGCAGGTCTCTGTTCTTATCCAGCAATTCCTGTGCTTCACTCTCTGCAGCAACCATCCACCCCCTCTGTCTCATATCTCCCTTGTGTGCCCCTCGCTTCCTCCCCATCAGTCCCAGGTCTCTGTGCAGGGTGTTTTTGAGAATTCTAAAAAACAGCCCATCTGCCTTGTGCGCCTCGTTCTTCCCCCCCATCCATCGCAGGTCTCTGCTCCTATCCGGCAATCCCTGTGCGCCCTCCACAGCAGCAAAGCATCCCCCATGCGAGCGCAGCCATGAGAAGGCAAGCTTGTCCACTCGAGCGTCTCCTTGAATCCCCCCTCCAGCGATCCCTGACCTGACGAGGCCCTGAGTGCGCCACCCACCAAGCCTAGGTCTTGCTGCAGGATCCAGCCACAAGGATGCTATATATAGGGAATACTCGACCGTACCAGGGATTTTCTCCACGCAAGCATTGCAGCTGTTAAAGTAAGAACTGAATGGATGACTAGAAGTGGAAACCTAGAACAAATACTAGTTGGTTGTACTCACTAGAAGCATACCTCAGTCTAGCCTATAACTTCTACATAGTTAATATGTATAAGTTGACACACCCCCTAGGCTAGACAAGGGGTGAAGCTAAGCAAGAAGCAAACAGCTCAGGGTGGCACTACTAGTCCAACCACTGAGGCAGGGGTCTGGAGACCAGTCAGCAAGAATCCAAACAAAACTAAAGCAAGCCAGGGCGGCACTACTAGTCCAGCCACTGGAGGTAAGGCCACAAGGCCAGTCTGACTGGCATATATAATAGAGAGTACACAATCAGGATCCTAACACGTGAGTAGCTACAGGAACAAGACCAAGCTGTACACAGTGCCGCTGATGATCTTTAGGCGCAAGCGCCTTAGTAAAGATATCAGCTATGTTGGCACCTGAGGCCAAGTGAACTACGCGGGCCTGGCAGCGTTGCTGTAGCTTGCGCAGGAGGAAGTACCGCAGCTGGATATGCTTCGCTCTGGCCTCAAGCCGAGGCTCCTGACACAGGAGTATCATGGCCCTGTTGTCAGCGTACAAGAACGGGGCAGAGCTAGGCCGCTCACCTAAGTCTGTGAGCAAGAAGGTCGGCCAGCGGAGCTCCTGTGCCGCCATGGCACCAGCGTAGATCTCAGCCTCACAGCTCGACTGAGCAACAGACGACGAGCGAGTGGATCTCCAAGAGATAGCACCCGAACCAAGGCTAAAACAGTAGCCCTGCGACGACCTGAGCGTCTCAGAGTCGTCTGCCCAAGAAGCGTCTGTGTGCCCAGTAAGGACCACTGGCCTGCGTCCTCCTAGCACTAACCCCATGCCCGATGTACTAGCAAGATAACGCAAAACCCTCTTAGCGGCAGACCAGTGCTGAGGTCGGTGTCTGCCTGTAGCCACAAAGCGAGCCAGGATGCTGAGAGGGTATGCGAGATCTGGGCGAGTGCAAGTCATCAGGTACATTGGCAACCCACCAGCTCTGCGTAGGGGCCACTGGGCTCTACGGGCTCCTCAGGAATGGGAGCGGAGAGCCCATGGTCTACAGGTAGAGGTGTGGGCTGTGCGGAGGAGAACTGAAGACCGAACCTCTGAAGGACCTAGCGCACCAAGTGTGACTGTGTCAGAGTGATGGTGCGTACTGCTCTGTCCCTAGAGATCTGCAGGCCAAGATAGCGACGCAGCTCTCCAAGGTCAGTGCACGTGTGTCTCTTCAGAAGCTCGGCCTTCACAGAGGCCAGTGCGTCCCTGTCAGCAGTAGCGAAGACCAGATCGTCTACGTAGACAAGGATGTAGAAAGGAGTCTGGCCGGATTGCACAAACAGCGAGGGCGGAAAGAACTGTAGGTCTGCTAACGTGGCCTGCAGCGTGTCGTGCCACTTGCGAGAAGCCTGACGCAGGCCGTAGACCGGGCGCTTGAGAAGCCACTGGGTCCCAGAGGGGAAGGTACCAGTGAAGCCCTGTGGTCGGCGCAGGCAGACCTGCTCGTATAGGCTGCCCTGAAGAAAGGCAGTAGAGAAGTCGAGGGAGTGAAGCTCGTAGTCGTGCTGTGCTGCTACGTGTAGCAGCGCCCGAAGAGTGGTCATCTTCGGGGTCGGGGCGAAGGTCTGGAAGAAGTCAACCCCCTCTCGCTGACTGAAACCTCTGGCCACGTAGCGCGCCTTGAAGACAGGCGGCTCTCCAGGGGGGCGCTTCACCTTGAAGAGCCACCGACCATCGACTACGTTCACCCCAGGCGGGGGGATTGCGTCGATGTAAGTGCTGGTGGACCTCCAAGATGCCATCTCGTGCTCCATGGCAGCTATCCACTGAGAGGCCCAAGGTCCCGAGGTGGCCTCAGCGTAGGTGCGAGGGGTCGGGATGTCGAAGACGTCTGGGTCACCCTTAGGGACTAACAGCATGGAGCAGAGATGGGGAGCAGCCTCGGAAAGGAAAGCAAGCTCGTACTGCCTCTCCTCTAGGACGTCACTGCCAAGGGCAGGAGCACCCCCGACGGACGGAGGTCGGGCAGGGTCAGAGACCAGAGCGGTAGTGTAGTCAAGGCGGCGGGTACAGGCAAAGTCAGCGACAACAGCGACAAGCGCGTCAAGGCGCAAGACAGGAACAGTATGGTCGGTAACAAGAGAGGCAAGGACCCGAGGGACAAGGGGACGAGCAGCACGGAGGTAGTCAGAGAACGGAGGAGGTGCAACAGAAAGGGACGAGGGAGGAGGGGACGGGAGGAGGGGAGGACGAGACGAGCGGGAACGGAGCAACATAGGGTGGGTGGGCAGGACAGGAGAGACGGGACGAGCACGGGAGGGACGGCGAGCCCAAACGTGAGACGGAGGTGTAGGGTCAGGGGACAGCGGAGGGGACACAGGAGGGGAACGAGAAGGAAGACGGGCTGGAGACGAGTCCGGCGATGGGAACACAGGACCGTAGATAGGAAGGTCAGCAGGCCGTGGGGGGGACACCGGCGCGCGGTCCGGGGAGGGAAGGCCGAGCAGGCGGAGAGCGGAGACCGGCGGCGACGGCTGCTGCGATAGCTGGGCCAGGACCCTCGGACCGGCAGAGGCAGGACGACCGTCGGCGGAACCCTCAACAGCAGCACCCCCAGAACCAACACCCCCAGAGCAAGAACCCCCTCCAACTCGAGCGGCACCCCCGGGAGCCGCAGGACGAACACCCTCCTCAACGCCAGCACCCCCAGAGGCCAACGGCGGCAGTGGCGGCGGCAGCGACGGCGGCTGCGGCGGTGGCGGTGACTGCGACTGCGACGGCGGCGGCAGGGGCGGCGACGGCAACTGCGGCAGGGAAGGCGGAGACACCGGGGAAGGGGGACGCGGCAGGGAGGGGCCGGGGGGACCACCAGAGTCAGCAGACTCCTCAACGGGGACAACCGACGGGAGGGGAGTGACGTGAGAGACACCAGACGGGGCAGGACGAGGCGGGAGAGGAGCAGGGGCTACCGTGGGAGAGGGAGCCAGGAACAGGGGCGGGGCAACCGGGAGACCTCGGTGAGGGAAGCGGCGGTAGAAGGAGACAGACTCGTCAAAGGTGGCGTCACGAGAGTGGAGGAAGCGGTGAGACGGCGGGTGGTAGAAAAGCCAGTCAGACGAGTCCAGGGGAAAACCGAGGAAGACACAGGGGACAGTGCGGGCAGTGAGCTTGTTCGTGCTAGAGGCACGAACGTGAGCAAGGCAGCCCCAGATGCGGAACGCAGACGCATCACCAGGGGACCCGGTCCAAAGGAGGGTCGGCGAAACCTGCGGCTGCTGGGAGCGTGGCCACAAGTGAAGCTGGTAAGCAGCGTAGCGAACAGCGAACGGCCACAGAAAATGGGGGGCATCGGCATGAATCATGGAGATATGGGCGACCTCCATGACCAAGCCGATGCAGCGCTCAGCAACCCTATTCTGTTGTGGCGAGTCCGGCAAGGTGTACGACTGGGTGATAACCTCCGCATGACAGAACTGTCCAAGCCGACCAGAGGCGAACTCGCCGCCACGGTCAGAGTGAAGACACAACACGGGGAGACCGCAGTGGAGACGCGCAGCCACAACCCACGGGAGAAGAACGTCGGGCACGTCGGCCTTCCGCTTTAGAGGAAACACCGTGGTGTAGCGCGTATAGTCGTCGACGAGCACAAGGAAGTAGCGCTCACCGCGCGGTCCGGGGACGGGGGCAGGGCCCCAAACGTCCAGGTGCAGGGTCTGAAGGGGGGCAGTAGCAGGGCGCAGCGAGGAGGAGTGAGGAGCACGGCGGAGCCGACCCTCGACGCAAGGCGTGCACGGTGGCGCAGTCGAGGGAGGAAGGGCAGGGAGCGACGCGGGGAGACCTAAGACAAGACCGTGCTGGGACATGTGACGCAGACGCGGGAGAGCAGGGTGACCTAAGCGGTGGTGCCAGAGAAGGGACGGGTGAGTGAGGGACCGACACGAGCAAGCTGCAGCGACCTGGGAGGATGCACCAACCGAGGGGGAAGCGGTGTCTAGTGTAAACAGACCGGACACCGGGTCTCGGGGAAACGTCGCAAGGGGGGAACCTGAGACAGCCTCAGAACAGACAGCGAACCGCTCGTGCCCGGGGAACGTGGTGGTGACGCCGAGGTCCTGGAGACAGCCGACACCAACCACGTTCCTCGAAAAGGAGGGAACGTGGAGGCCTGTAAGAGAGCCCGAGGGAACTGCTGGACAGGGAAGGGACGTAGAACTGCGACCGACGACAGGACCCGCAGAGGGGTCAGCGAGAGAGACAACAGCAGGCACAGCAAGCGGCGTGAGCGTGGAACGGTCGTAGAAGAAGCAGGCAGAAGCACCGGACTCGAGAGTGAAGGACAGCGAAGCAGTGGCGGAGGCCGGGGACGGAGCCGGTGCAGCGACTAGACTAGGCAAGCTAGGCAGTCCTACGCCTGATGGAGAAGGGGAGGCTAAGCTACACAATGGTGCAACACCTAAACTAGAGTACACAGGGTAATAAGATCCAGCAACACTAGAAGCGTCAGAATACAAAGCATGCAAGGCAGCACCTATCTGATCCATGTCTAACTCAAAGATCGGCACACCCTGGCGGAGCAGGCTGTGCCAGTCGGGGAGGTCCGGGGCCGGGCCAAAGCGACGACGAAAGAGATCGTCGAGGCGGCGGAAACAGCGGGCGGTCGGGTGCGGGCGGCGGCACAGAGTGCCGCGGAGAGGCCCGGTTTGAAGCTGGTACTGGCAGGTGACAGCACCGGAGCTGCCGGTAGACGCCAAGCTGCGCGGGCCGCCACCACGGCCACTACCTCCGGAGGTGCCGGGCCAGCCAGGCGGGAGACGGGCCCACGGCTGCGGCGACTGCTGCTGGGACGACGGCTGCTGCTGGGGCGGCGGCTGCGGCTGGGGCTGCTCTTGCTGCGGCTGGGGCTGCTGCTCCTGCCCACCAGTGGTAGTCCTCGCACGCGGAATACCGTCACCACCACCACCTGCGCCACCACCCCTACCTCCCTGGCGACCACGGCCACCGCGGCGCGAGCGGATGGACCGCAGCAGCTGTCTCGGTGAGAGGGGTCGCCGTGGCGACCGCAGCCGAAACGTCAGTGAACGTGCACTGGGAGGGGGCACAGCCGTGAAAGATAGAGACTGCCGGCGCACCG